AGATTCCCCCCCCCCCCGCATCCTTTTTTTTCTTTTTTTGGTCTACCTTGTTTGTGGTGTCTATTCGCCGGACAATAGTGAGCCGCTTCGGAGGGCGGGCTGCTCGGCCGAGGAGTTACCGTGGCCGTGGTTGCTTTGCCGATTAGTTAGAGATCCCACCCCCGCCCCTCCCCGCACCCTTTTTTGTTGTTTTGTGGGCTTTCTGTGGCGAGAGACACTCCGTTGCCACGATCTTTTTGCATGGCGAATTTACTCCGCGGCCCCCCTTTTGTTTCTTCCCGATCTCGTCGGTTCGGTTTGTGCTGCAGGGAAACGCGAACGCCGGTGCTGGGGCTGATCATCACGGCCCCGGTGGGCAGCGTCGGGAGCGTCTACCACGCGGTCTCCGATTGCCGGCGGCTGTCGGAGGAGTTCACGGCGGAGGGATCGGTGGTGCTCCGAGTCACGGCCGAAGTAGGACAGGTGCGTGAGCTCCCAACAGCGTGGTATATGGGTAGCGGCGGTTTGCGGCATCGACGAAAGCAGGTTGCTGGTGAACGCGCGCTACTTGATGCTTGATGTTTTTTTGGTCGATATACGGCCGAGAGACGTGACTGCCGTGCCGTGTGGTGATGCCGGTCCGCCCACGAGAACTCCGACGCCGACGGTGGTCGGGGCGCCCCACGTTTCGTCATCTTGCTTCCTTGCGACGAGATCCCAAAAGCACCCGGCTACTACATATTGTACGTGGTATCTCATTTTTTGGTAGCGGTGCGGGTGGTTTGTTGGGAGTAGAGGTTGTCATGGCATGGTGTTCATGCGGTCGGAGATGGGGGTGACGGTCGAAAGGGTGAAAGGTTCGCACACGAGTCCCGGGACTTTGGTGTCACCGCCGGCTACATGCGCGCATTCCACTTGGATAGATCGAAAAACTTTGGCTGCTGGCTGATGCTGCATGTTTGCGTGATTTTTTCTGACGAGAACGTCCCTCGAAACCATGCTCGGTCGAAAGTTTCTCCTGACTCCGGCCCGGTGCTGTCGCAATCTTGTCCTGCACACCTCGTGCTGATTTTTTTGGTGAAGGTGGAGGAAGTGCGGCGAAGAATCCAAGACGCCACCAAGGGGGCCGCCGAGGTTGTGGAGGAGGGGCCTTAACGCCGCCTTGCAGAGAACTCACACCGACGTCCACAAGCATTGTTTATGACCTCGTAGGGATTGCCACCCGCAGCCCTTGCTGATTCCACAGCCGAGTCGACTTAGAAGGGCTCACTTTTACGTTGCTGCTACAGACATATAAGTTTGTAGGTGCGGATACCACTTAGTTTTGCCCCTCTGCCTGATACGTAACGAGCTTGTTGTGGGCATATTTACGAGGTGTTTTTCTTGGGGTCAGCCAACACCTCTGCCGTTAGAGCATGCCTTGGTAGGAAATACCACAACTTGGAGTTCGTCGGGATATGAGCGCCAAAGACAAAGAAACACGGTTGAACTTGTTTCGTATGCGTAGAACTGACGGCACAATACGCGCGAAGGAAGTTCTTCAGGCGCCCTGTTGACTCCGCCATCGAGGGACACCTGACCTCAAAGGTCGGGTATCTAAAGCGTTGTAAAATTTTTGCGGTTTCTCCAATCTGGGATTGTGACTGAGGGTCAACCCGCGTAGAACTGAGGGGGTTGTATAGCGTTGCCGGGCATCTGCCGACCTCGGCCGTGCAGGTGTGGGTGTTTGTCTGTCGTGTCGCGCTCCCTTCGTGCACGCAGGACGCCGACCGGAGCGAGAACCTGGCCAACCAAATTCACCACAGTAGCACAACGACGACAATTCGCGGCTGAAACGCTAGTAATAACCCCCTCTCGCGAAAGGTCTCGGTGGCACACACAAGACACCCAAGGCGGAAGCACACGATGATACTTTTTCCCGCACTGTTCCCCCATCATCGGAGAGGAGAAAAACCAAACACGCGCGCGCGCACACACACACGCCTTCCACGTCAAGACCGTTAAAATCACCACGACCTACCGTGCAATTGCGTTGCACGGGAGACGTGCGGGCGCGGTGACCGTCCTTACAATTCTCGATCAACACTCGAAGTTTACACCCACCAAAACCACCGCTACGGCCGCTGCCCGGCGGCGCACAAGGCTGAAAAACTCGCTCTCCAGAAAGTCTGTCCGGTACAGCAACGGCCAAGCGGCGGCGGCGGCGGCGGCGGCACGGCTCCTACCGCGATGTGACAAGTGCTACTGGTTGCTGCCTCCCACTCGGATCTTGATGGTGAAAGACACGGCGGGCAAATCGGACATGCCCCCCCGGTCGTCCAAGAACGACGCCCTCACGACGGCCACCAGGCCGAGATTAGCCAGGGCCCCCCGCACGAGGCCACACGGCAGCTGCAACAACCGGTTCACCAGATCGCGACTCCCCGCCGTGTCGTCTGGACCAAATGAAATGGTAAAAACAAGCGTAAAAAAACGAAAAACAGCAGGAGTGAAGGTCGCTTCAGGACAATAGCCCGGGGGGAAGGGCGGGTGTAGAGCATCTTTCAGGCGAGCCGTCGCACTACAGAACGCTCCAGTTCTTGTTTTGGGCAACCCTCCTGGAGAGGAAACAAAGAACGCATAGGTTTTAGTGATTGGTAGGGCTCAGGTTTTTGTACTTCATGAAGCATGCATTTCAAATCTTCAAGCCCTTACCTACAAATTCTCATAGGTTGTACGGTTTTGCAAGTAGGCACCAAAAGGTAGTAAATACGGACAACATGGTCGGTTCAAGTTCTTCACAACGCATCCGCAGTTCGTGTACAACACACGGGTCGGTCGAATCGAGCCAACGAGAATCGACCTTCCGTCATCTGCGTGCCTTAGCCGCCCCGTGTGGGGGCAGGTAGGTGCAACGCTTCCGGAAACTCCGAGCGAGAGATTCGTACGGACGCCCTCAACAACACCAACAACCAGCGGGCGGAGGAAGGCGGGGACGACGACGGGACCCCTTCACCGCCAGGAAAGCAAATAATTGCGAGAGATTTGTTTCGCCTAAATCCTGCCCGCTTTGCGCGGCTGTTCGTCTACCAGTAGCTGAATTTGGCGGGGAAATCAGCTGTTGCCCCTTCACGCCGGAGAACACGCCAAGCTCGCCAAAATACAAGCACGACTGCCGTACCTTCGGCGTAGCGAGAAGTCCACCGGAAGTTCGAGTCCTTGAGCACGAATGTCCCCTGGTGGTCCGTCTGCAGCTTGTCCACCTGCTTCTTGAACAGCTGGCCCGAGTGATTCGTGAAATTTTGGGGGGATTTTTCCATTTAGGATTTGGCGCCGGGGAAGCAACGGGCGGCGGGTGGGCACACACGAGAAACGGAGATCATTGTTTAAGCTACACATAGAATAGAGCAGGGGTCCAAGGGGCATTGCTTCAAAGTGGAGCGTGCGCTTGAAACAAATGCGACAGAGTGGGCGGGAGGGGACATCTTCGGGAAGGCGCGCTGGTCTTGACGAGGAAGACTTGCTAGAGAAAAACTCATGGCCAGAGCGAACAATTCCGAAGCCACAACACACGAAGTATACATCGTATCTTGTGGTGGCCCGGAGCGAAACCGACAGGCTAACCATGCACGCGCTACTGGCCGAGCGACAATCTATCGGACACTAGGGTGGCCATTTCACCTCAAACGCAACAGCTTCCGCGATTGCGTGGCACATACACTCTTCCAGACATGCTCGTCCGCATCATCAGCGGCCATCCGTGACTGCTCAGCGGTAGATTATTAGTTGTCACAGAAGTTTCCCTCACTCACATCCGACCACAAGTCTTTGCAAACGAACTTGATCGCTTCCAGCTGGTCCCCTCCCATCCACCGCCTTTGGCATGTCCTCTCCACCAGCCGGTACCCCACCTCGTACCCCATGCTTTCGATTCTTGCCTCCATCTGCTGCGCTTGATCCGACTAAAATAGCGGCGCGGTGGCGGCGGACGATGGAAGAGCAAATGTACAAGCGCCAGGCGAGAGCTCGTGAAGTCTAAATGCTCAAGTAGAAACGCAAACACGTACTCTCAAATATGCAGAGCTGGGGCGGGGGGAAGCGGCTAAGGCGTTGAGAGAGATACAGACACGCATGCATATGATGGGACAATGATCGTGATCGTGGAGCTATGGACATGATGGTTTCACAAGGGCCCTATTCGTACCGAGAAAATCCCTTGTCTCCAACCGTGCCAGCACATGCCTGTGCAACGATTATTGTGCCACACGCTCCGTGCCACGGGATGCCGAAACGGAAACCCGCCGATACTCACACCGCGTTCGTGGAAACGCAATAAATGCAGCAGCGTTGCGCCGGAACGTGAATGGTCGCTGCTGACAACGACCACCGGAGTAAGTACGCGAAGCCCGCCGTGAACAACGCGATCACTGGGTACAGCAGAGAGATCCATCATTGCTAAATAGAAGTAGGAAATACACATATCATTTACCTTGGCCCTCTCTTTCGTATTGCCTGAAAATGTAGACCTATGCATACGGGGAGGGACTACTGTAGTGCTGCTCTGTCCATGCAAACAAAGGGTTTGCTCACGAACACCAACAACACGCTCTGCCCAGGACGCTGTGTGAAGGTTGCTTGTCCTACTGCTGTACAGGATGTGGCCGATGTCAAGAACACAACACCATTACAATAGATAGTGTGGGATGGTATAGACGTAAAACCGAAACAAACAAAAACGAGGTCCTTCACGCAGCTCTTGTAGACAATGAGGGCATTGGTACGAAGGGTGCCGGCATCCTCAAAAGCACTGCCAAGGACGCAGTCCGTTACGGCTGGCTAGGCTAAGCGGCGTGTTTGTTCCAGGAACTCTGCTGCAACGGCAGAAGAGGGGGCTTTGCTTACCGGGAGTAGCTGGTGCCCAGCCCCGACCGACGCCGGATTCGGCTCCACTAGCGACCCACCGGTATCACTTCCATCATCGCCACCACCTCCCCCCTTCTCCCCCTCCCCCTCGTCTTCTACGCCTGCCTCGGACGCTCTCAATCTGTCCGTAGCGTGGCTTGCTGCCGAGTGCGAAACGTAGGCCCCCGTGTAGGCGATGATCTCTGAGAAGAGGAGCTCGAAAGCGGGTTCGGAGACGAGCCTGTTCCCCGCCGCCACCGCTGAACCCGCGGGAACCTCCCCCGTAGCATCTCTCGACATGACGGTGCTCACTCACACGGCTCGGCTTGCAGCATTGCATTTGGCATGGTCCTTGCCTTGCACGAGCAGCAAGCGGCGGCTCTCGAGGCTCCGTGTATCCCATCCCATCCAACAAACACATACCCATGATTATCTTGTGCGCGAGCCCCCTACAGGTGTTGCACTCTCAGCCCGTTTGCACTCGACACCGACACCATGGCGCCAACACCGAGATCAAGGGCTTCCCGGGTGGTTGCAGTGGCTCTCGTGGCTTCTCTAAGCGTTCAGGTGATTCCCGACAGCAGGAGTGCCCCTTTTCAGCTCGCGTGGTGCCCTAATTTTCAGACACCATGTATCGCATGTTTTCTTGGAATACATGACAACGGCGGGTGTGCTCCCACAGGTGTCCCCTACGGCAGAGAGAGGCTTTACCATGATGGCGAATGCCGTCCATCGCCATGTTGTCTGTTTCTGTTCGGCGAAGTACGGTCCAAGCAGTTCTCATTGAGCATGCGAGGAGAGCGCCGAGTGCCGACCACTGCTGCTGTAAATAGTATACAATACCAAACATGATGTCCAAAACCAAGAAAAAACTTGTGGTCTGTGACGTGGAAGGTGCCACTATCTAAGCTTGCCAGATTTGTATTGTAGATGAATGTGCTGGGCACTGGGCGTGTGTGTGTATTGCTGTATTTGTAGCTTCCCGACCGGGAGAAGCACTCCATGTGGAGGTTTGAACAAGGGAGTGGAACCACGGGAATGTTGGCTGCACCACAGCGGTAGGCCCTTTTTGCCCGTATAAGCTCTGCTTGTACGTAGACGAAACACGACCGAGTACAACATAGGAGCGAAAGATCGAGGGACCACGAGAACCGACGCTCAGATTCACCAAAGTTTGAAATCGCACCTGGAGCAGACGCAGGAGGTACTTACTGCCACACCATTTGCGGGGCGCCCTTCACCTTGGCACGTGACGAGCGCCCCCCTCGTGAAGCGTTTCCAGTAGGCTTGGCGCGTGTAGGTTATATCGTTGTATCGCCCTCAATTCGATCGTACGCCTTCCTGCTGCGAATTCACATCAAGTCTAGGTCGTCCGGAGCATTACTATTGGTTGGGCTAACGCGCGTTTGCCATGAATGCGGAAACACAAACCATATCCGTGTCTGTGTGTTGTCGTCCCACTTCGTCCATTGTTACACCTCTCACCTGTTCGGTATGGTTTTGGATGCACCGGCCGGGGTCACACAGCTGGGGGACAGGCCACACAGAAGTTAGCTTTGTGTTGTTTATTGTTGTTTCTCTCTACCTTCTCGTGGGTGCTCTGCCCTACTGGTTTGATCGTCAGCAGGATTTGCCCGCCTCTTTTGCCTCATGAACCGCAGTGGACTACCCGTCTTTCACGAGTTTGGGGATACGTCTACGTTTTGGGGAAAAATCGACCATTTCTGGACCGCTGCCTGTTGTTCATCGCCAAGTGTGGTCGAAGGGCGCGCCGTCGTTGTGTGACAGCACGTGTATCTCGTGTACTTTTTTTTTTTCCGTGTAGACACCAGGCGTTTTTTTGTTGGCTACGTGAGCACCGGTCCTTGTGGTTGTTCCATCGTCAGCAACGCTCCTCAGCGTTCTGCCTTTGGATCGATCGTATACGTATTTTGGGTGTTCGCATGACTAGCAGAGCTGTTGTCGTTGAGCCGCTAGAGTGACCCACACTCGAGGGTTCATCATCGTCAGACACGTGTATTGCGTGAGATTTCACCCCTGAAATAGGAGACCTGCGCATCCCCGCACGTACACTCCATTCCCTGTGCATGCATCCCTTTCTGATTTGCTGGATGCACGGCCTTGACTCCCCTCTCGCTCTCTTCCGATGTTCCTCGGTGCGCCGATCTCTTCCTGCAAGGTATGTGTGGCGTTTTTGGCGGCTGCTCCGGCGTTGGCTCGGGGAGGAGAGTGGGCGCGGTTGGGTCGAAGCGGCGGCTCCGCTTCTGCGAGCAGCACACGGGTCGAGATGGTGGCTGCCGAGGCGGCCGCGGGGCAGAAGCAGCTTGAAACGCTCAAGTTCCTAACACCTGAGGTGTGTTTGGGACGAGGGAGGGCTACTGCTTTTTTTTGTTCTTGTTTCTGTTTTCCTCCCTCGTCCTCTGCTTCCTTTTCTGCTCTGTCAGCTGGTCTCTCGTTGAAAACGGTCGCCTTTCTCGACGGTGGAAGTGCCCCCACACGCGGAAAGCTGTTGTGACGCGTGCCCTCATGCTGGAGCGACGCCTCTCAAGTCTTTGGTCGGGTCCTTGTCTGACCCCAGCACCATCTTGTTTGGTGGTAATTGTAAGATCAGAGCACCGACGTCAGGGTGTTTTTTTTGTTTTACGCTTGTCCGGATGTTGAAACCTCACGTCTGCGGTGGCATGTATTGTCTATTGATGTCCGGGGCATACCCAGCCTTTGGCGCGTTGCGAGAGATTGGTGGCGACGAAAGGTTCATCTGAGGACGCTCCGCGTGCCGGCATTTGCATAGCTGTGTGACTCGACTGCGACCATCGGCGGGTCGCGCGCGAAGAAGGCGGCGGTTGTGTGTGCCCCTAGCGCACATGGATGCTGTCGCCTCGCTCCGGCCAAACGTGCTGGATTTGTCCACTATGTGTGTGCGATGGCTGTTCGCCCGTCTCCTCGTCTGTCGTGCATGCTTTCTTGCCGTGTGCCTTGGGTTGCTGGCGTTCTGGTCGTCTACGCCATCTCCTCTAGTGTTGTCTGCGCGTCTTGTTGTTCTTGGCATCGACCGCGCTCACGGGCTGATCAAGGAACACACGTCGGTCTCAGTGCCGCTTCTAAAGGTCGAATGTGTTTGTGTGTGCGTGTGTGCTCATTTTTTGTTTCATCGGACACACGAACCGGCCGACCGATAAAAACACGTGCAAGCAGCCTGCGCGCGTGTTCCCGTACAACCTTGACCTCCGTTCGCCTGTCGTTGCCTCCTTTCTCCCTTAGTGCGCATCCCCCTTGCGCACCCCCCCCCCTCCGGGTGGCCTAATCTTTTCGTCTTGGCCGCTCAGACGGCGCGCGCGACGAAGGCGGCCGTGGGGACCCCGGCTTACGTGTACGACGCGGCGAGCCTGAAGGCCAACGCGGAGGCGTGCCTGGCGTTCCCGAACGCTTACGGCCTAACGGTGCGCTACGCCATGAAGAGCCTCCCCAACAAGGCGGTGCTGCAGCTGTTCCAAGGGTGAGAATTTGACTTTCAACACAGCAATCGGACAGATGTGTGCAGCTGGGGCTCCGTGATATGGCGAAGGAACAATCCCCCCCCCCCAGCTCCAGCTCCCCCCCCCGGTGTTTGCCATCGGGGTTTGGGTTTTCGTCGCTTGGCAACGACGTTGTAAAACAAGCCCCCCACTCGGTGTTTGCCATCGGGATTGGGTTTTCGTCGCTTGGCAACGACGTTGTAAAACAAGCCAATTCACTTCGTGAACTCGGCAACCAGGTTACCGCTTTTTTTTTTACCTCGTTTTTGTTTTGGCGGTAACCATAATGGTGGTCGAGTAGATCATGTTGTGCGGGGTCGAGAAACCTCACTCCGCGCAACGGGGGATGATCGCACCACGTTGTGTTAAAATGGTCAAGCTTCCTCGAGGCAGTTACACAGTGCTTACAACTGTCTCTGGAAGTGAAAGCACCAGAAAATAAATTAAGTCATACGTAGCTGTCATCCGTACGCAAGGAAGTAAGCACAAGATGCCGAACACCCTTAGCAGGATGCAGCTCACCCTTCATGCGACTCGCCAAATACCTCACGGCGCTTCGCACTTGGTGATGTGAGAGCCTGGTCCGGTGAGAACCCGGCGTGATCCGTCCCGGCTTTGTAGGG